AGCAATTCTGCAGAGATCTAAGTAAATGACAATCAAAGATGCAGTTCGGTGAATAAGATGAATAAATCAAGATTTCTCAGCAAGGGTTTGTGCTAATTCCCACAATCAAAACGTTAAGGACATTGTGGCTAAGCTTGTGGCGTTTATTCAAAACCCCTACATCGCTCACATTGACTATTCGAGTAACCCCGTTTACCTAAAAGCTGATCATTCTTCAATGCATTCATACCTTCGATCGCTAGAGTCTTTGGTTGTCAATAAGTTCCACCCAAGCAAAGATTAAAAGAGGGCATGCGGCGCAGTGGATAGAGGTGCTCTGCGTCGCACACGCGGTCAATGGTTTGATCACCCGCTCATGGCTCACCAAGCCATCATCACTCCGGGATCGGTAAATTGGTAGCCTGTCTGGGAGGATAGGCAGCATTGAGTCGGTTTGGCGGGAGGCTACCGCGAGTCGTTGTGAAGGCCAGGTATGCATTCAATCACCTCAAAAGGAAGTTGAAAATTGAAGACGAATGCATGGCGCATCCCTCAGAGATTGATCAACGCTGAGGGCTTTACCATATTCACCCTTTTACTGAAGATTCACTCATTGTCTCTACTCGTCAATAAGGGGACAACTTGCATGTTTATCTCTGTTTTGAAAAACCTACTGCTGGCCCGATGTTTTTATTGGATGTCAAGTGAGTTTAATAGGCTCGAATAATATAAACGAGATGGTTGAATGAATTTTTTGTTGCAAAAAGCATATTGCTTTTTGCTTGAGAACACGATGAGCAATTATGGCGTAGAGAAGTCGGCAAGTTGTCCTAGTAATGTTGTTCAGAAAACCGTTGATTATAAGTTTATCAAGTTGCTCTTGCGTCATAAGGCCGCAATAAAACCGGTTAAAATGAGTTTCTGTCGTCACCGCACACCGCACTAGTTGTGACATGTTGTACAGTAAAATCATTTGTGAACTTTATTCAAAAGTTTATTTTATTTGTTGTGTTCTGCTTATCAGCTCTTTTGTTCAGAAGCTAATTTGTCCTCCTTTTCCACTATGAATTTCGATTTTTCCTCTAATTTTTCTCGTTCTCAACTACGGATATCCATGCAAGTATGGGCGTACAACCTCATTTTAAGTGCTTTAGCGCAACATTGGTATCCGTAGCAATAATCGGTTTCACTTTTCTTGGCGTGCTTTGATTCATGTAAACATATTCTCATCGAACGAATGCTTATAATTAAGTGAAAAAAAGAAATGCATGGGTTTCAGGTTCAGAATAGTTTCATAAAGTGCCGCAACGGACTTCTGGATATTTATAACTCCACATGAAAGAACTGATCAAGTTTTCATTGCAACTGGAACGGTAAACAATAAAAATGAAAGACAATGCATGAATTTTGTCGTTCTTTGAAGTCCTTACATCGGGCGCTACCCACGGGGTAGGTCTCTCACGTGGTGCTGATGAATAGAAACTATGTTAGTGCACGTTTGCCCTATTCGATAGATGACAGTACTGCAATAAAAGGATAAAGCTCTCGGCGTTAATCAATCTTTGGGAGATGCGCCATGCATCCGTCTTCAATTTCTGATTTCGTTTGAGGTGACTGAATGCATATGTGGCCTTTACAATGACGGCGCTGGCTTCCGCTGAACCAAGTCAGTGCTGCTTATCCTCCCAGACAAGTCTGAGACCAGTGTGGTACCAATTTACCGACCTCAGAGGGATGGATAGCTTGGTGAGCCATGAGCGCGCGATAGAACCAATGACTTCGTGTGCGACGCAGGCACCTCTAACCACTGCACAACATGTGCTCTACTATTATTGCAACACATCAGCAAAATCGGTAACTGTTCAACATAGCCTGTACTCGTGGGAGCGATTTCAAAGGGGATCCAGTGTTTACATTTCTCAACGTCTATTCCCACCCACTTGATTAACTCCCCATCGATTGTTAACGTGTTAGTTGATCGGAAGTCGTCTTTCACTTGGGAGGAGGTTGATGCTGGGTGTCAAATTGAGATTCGCAGCGAGAGCTCCTCTTCCAACAGTGTTATACCATGCTGAGAAGTTTCACGTCTCCACCCAGAAAAGGAATTTATTTGTTCCAGCAAGATTGATTCCGAACTTCGCATGGCAACTTTCTGGCCAAAGACTTTAGAAAGAGTTAATGCCCAAAAATCGTAGTCCGCTCTGTTTGTGTACAGCTCTGTTAGAATGGGACACAGGCGCAATAAATATCAATGAAATGTGTTGGTGTATGTTCGACTTGCCTGACAGTGGAATGTAATTAGTCAACAGACTCTGACCTTTAACTTTCACCACGAGTAGTTCAGTACGAGAATCTATCTAGACCCGTTTATGTGATCTGAGAGAAAAGATCGTCAAACCTGATAGCTTACCCTTTGAGAGAATTTCACGTATTTCGTGGTGATTTCCTTATGATGACGAGAATCTTCACTCTATGCGACTTTCACTTCAGAGAATGGAATAAAAGCGAAAAAGGGAGAGAGAGAGAGAGAGAGAGAGAAAGAGAGAAAGAGGCAGAATGGGAGGCAGAAAATGAAAGAGAGAAAAAAAGAGATCTCAAATGGTCTGATAAGAGATATCTCTTTACAAATTGCCTTCATAAGCGGATATCTCGCCAAAATTTCCTTGCAAATGACACTGTTATGGTCGAGTTCGAACTGCCGCTATTAAATCAACTGTAATCAGTTTTTAGTATGCTATAGTATGTGTGCTAATGTAGTGATGCGGTTTGTTCCATGCTTTTTTTAATCGAAGGAAAACATGTTTACTCTTGAAAGATTGACAAAAAGACATTTAAAGCAAGGTTATGGACAGAAGTACATTCATAACCCGCTCTTTTACACACTAACAACAAGGAGGCTACTCCTAAGACTTCACTTCTTTCCAAAGGTATATTTTGATTCGCAAAAGATTTTTCTGAATTTTGTGTAGCCAGTCCGGTAGCTTAAAATATGGAAATGCAAAGTTAAGCATCCTTCATGGAAGGAAATCTTAGTATTTTTACAGCTTGTTTATCTACAAGATCATCTTCCTTATTTCTATTCATTTTATTCTTCATGGTAAAGAGGATAACTGCAAATGCACAAGTGGTGAATGAGTGAGAAGATAGCCTTTTCTGTGACAGCTAGCCTTTTCATCTACATGCCATTAGCCTTCAATTAAGAGAAAAAAGTCTGGAAGAAACTTCCATGCACAAAGACAAACTGTTGTAAAAAGTTGAGTTTCTACTGAAGCTGCAACTTCTAGAGTCCTATGGAGTTATCACTGTCGCGACTATTTGTCACCTTTTGCACATTACTTTGCAGATCTTCATGGAATTATGTGCATGAGCCAGATTACCGCAAAATTACAAACACTTCATGAGAACAATCGGGCACCAAAATTGTTTTACAACCCGCTATCACAATTGACTTTGCGAATCCCTGCACTTCTCACATTCCATTCCTTTCCGCATAATTATCTTCCACAAAGATCTTCGAGTATTTCACGCATAGCTTCGGCAATAGTTTGAGAATTTTTCTTTATGAATGTCATAGGGGCGCCGTGGCCAAGTGGTTATGATGCTAGTCGCGGCACGTGAGAAGCCGAATTCCCGCACCCAACACTCTCCGGCAGTCAGCAGGGAGAGCCCTATGGAGCGTCACCGCTAGGCTATCCTCTAGAATGCAAAAAGAGGTGCTGAACCAGTGTTCTACGCCGTTCAGGAAAAAGACGAATAATGGCAGAATGCCAGAAGTACTGGGATGCGCAACGTGGGAATAGAGACACTATGAAGACGTAGAATAAAGTGTTTAAAGTTACGAATGGCGTGGAATGCTTGATCGAGACGATTCTTCCCATAATCGTGGAGTTAGCCGAGCTAAAATGTTCCCTGAGGCGTTTCGCTGATAGACTGCAAACATGTCGAAGAAAGGGATCCAACGCAGCAAAATTTGTTGTCGAAAAATGTGTAGTTTTCCTAGACGGGACTTCATCATTAATGCATTAAAGTAATTGACCTTTCTGTCCGGTATATAATTCAATTGAATCTCCAAGTTTTCATTGATAGCGAACAGTTCCAAGATGAAAAGAACTTAGACTCGTTTACACATTAGTGCGCGCATCTCTCATAGAATTCGATCAGGTCATCTATCCACAACCGATCATCCACTGATCGATTCCACCCCCCTCTCGGCAGTTTATCGTTTACGTCTATAAAAATTCCTATTGTATCGTCACCTATTTACATGGAAATCATTTTTGGTTGCATCGTGTTTTTGCTGCTGATTACCGTATCTGTTTAAATGTTCTCTCTGTGTTTTTATATTCTGCTACGCAATTATATACTGTAGATTGTTCTCTAATGTAACGAGCAGTAAAAAGTTTCGACGAAAGTTATTATTGTTAAAAGTTATCAAAGAACTCGATGGACTTTTTTACTTGCAGATACTTCAAAATAATCTGTAAAATACCTTTGAACTGATTGATTTGAACTCCACAAAATTACCAAGCGGATGTACGGAAGCGTACAGTTTTCCGTGCACTTTCTAGAGTTTCGTTCTGCTTTATTTTGTTTCATTTGATTTCAAAAACTGCAGTCTAGGTCAGAATATGAATAAATCACAGCATCTGTAGCTTTTGACTTTGTACTCAGATTTCAGCTTTACTCGGCTAGAGATTCAAAAAATTGTAATACGACATTAATGAACTTCCATATCAGCAGCAGTTCCTCATTAAGCGTGAAAGAATACGAGAGAATTCTGTGTTTTAGTTTGCAAGTGGAACGTTTGTATATTCATTTTTCTATGAAACATTAACTAGAAGCCTTTTTTGAGTCGGAAAGACTTTTGCAATGCTACGGTACGTAATTTTCATAAAGGTATGCTATTTCTTATTTCATATAATTCAATTTGAAATGAGATTCTGAATCCTTTTGGCTATTGTCTCTACGAAGGGTGGCAATAACAAAAACTGTATAGTGTAGAAAGAGTGGTGTGTAAAATGGCGTCAGTAGTGCAACGGGTTAGAGCACGCTCTCCTGGATAGAGTGATGGGTGCAGGTTCGAGTCCCCCTTAACGCGAAAGTTTTGCACATGACTCCACATCACTAAAGATATTTATGAAATTTTACCACCGCTAAAGTGGTTCAGGGAATCATTCCATTCGAACTGTATGCCTACTTTCTATTTGTCATTCTGTTATGAAAGAAGCGTGTTAGAGACAAGCATTCTAAGGATTGTCGAAATGTTTTAATAATGCATACTTTTTGAGAAAGTTTCAATAATGGTACGGACTACTGTAGCCACAGGAAACGGTGATCTCGTTATCGATTTGCGATTTTGACATCAACGCCCAGTCGATAAATGGCCTCCTTCACTGGCGTTTATACCGTACGCCATATATGGCGGGTTTATGTGATTTATTTGCTCAGTCTGTTCAAAAATTGTAGACAACGTTTCCTTGGTACTAATCATAGCTGGATTTTAGCGTTCTGATGTCGTACCAAATGTTATTAGCACGTGAAATCAAAGTAGCCATAAAAGTGTTCTTATTCGAAGAACTCCCATGGAACTTATATTGTTCCTCAACGATTAGTTGTATTGCAGTTGGTGCAGACGTTGAAATGGTTGACCTTGAATGGTGTGAGAGCGCTTTAGTGCTCCCTAGGAAATAATACTACCATGCCTGCCCGCCCATCGTATTCGGGCGGATCGTCGACATTTTTCGGCCCCGTGATCACTGTCAATGATGTGTTGTAAGAATGCTTGAATAGACTCATATTTCTTTCTACTTGATCCGACTCAGAGATTCTTCATCATTGTGCGGATACCAGTACTTCTTTTCGGTTCTTTCTTCGTCTTTTTCTTGATCTTCGCAGAATACTGGTTGAGCGCATCTTTTAGAATCGCAAGGATAGCCTAGCTGTGACATTCCATAAAGTGTTCATATTTGACTGTTGAAGAGTGTTGAGGAATGGGAATGATCTCCGCGCCGCTCTGCGACAAGCATTGCAATCATTCGGCCACGATCCCTCACGTTCTGCTTGGAATCTCAAGTCTACGCACCCTAAACGCAATTCACGCGAACCCTACTGAATACAAATGATGTCTTATACTTTGATCAAATTATTGCTGTGAGCCGAAGACGGTGATATTGAACGAAAAAAAAGAAGACGACAACTCTGTTGTTTTGAAATCGTTCTCTCATTTCTAGTCAGAGTGATTTGGTAACCATAATACTAGACGAAGTCCTGTTTCTTAGTTTGTCAATTATATTGTTATATGTTTCTGTGTTTTTATTTGCTCTTGTCTTAGCTAGTGTTTTCTGTTCTCAGTCTTTATGATCCCAAACGACATAATGTGCGTCTTTTAATCCTTTGTTGTGATGAAGTGGCTGTTCTAGTGTCCTACAACAACTTGAATCAAACTGGTTCACTTTTGTACATTAGTATCGAAATTGCGAGTAATTATCTCCATTCAGTGTAGCCGTTCCACATTCTCATCTCGCCATCGCAATTATTTGAATTTTTATGTGATGATCATCATGAAATTAATTTCCGAGAATGACGTCGATCATCACTGCCAGGATTGTTTTCAAATCATAATAATTTTTCAAACTCCATTATAACGTTTACTGAAAAATGGGGCACGGTAGCGCAGTGGGTATTAATGCCGGGCACAGGGAAGCATGGTGATAAGCGAGGCGCTACTTCGATTCTTCTCCTAACACTCTCTTGCAATCAGTAACCGAACGCCTTAATTCGGTTACTTTGATAACACACTGAGTCGTCATGACCGGTATCTTACGACATTCACAAAAAGACGAAGTCCTTAATCACCAACTTAAACAACGCATGAGATCTTCGAAAACCTTTATAGAGGATGAATACATGGTTGTTCTTAGATTTGTTTGGAAGGATAAAAACGCCGATTTAAGGCAGTGGTAGGTCTTTGTGCGTCATTGTTCAAGCCAAATACACATCTTTATGATGCTATGGTGGAGTCAGGTGTGGCGGTCGAACGCTCTATTATTTTTACCCTCTTTGCAAAGTTCTTGACCATATAACAAGCCCTTGTTTTTGTGTATGTCCAGTGATAAGTGATGTCATCGATGCTTCTTTTAACTTGATGATATGAAATAATTTTGATCTGTTCCTGATTTACTCTTTGTACTCGAAGTTCTTAGCGATGCGTATGGTATTGTGAAATAATTTTTGATCTGTTCCTGATTTACTCTTTGTACTCAAAGTTCTTAGCGATGCGTATGGTATTGCGGTAGTCAGTGGTCAGTGGTCAGGTCAAGGTTTCACCTATAAATGACTAATCCTAAAATTATTGTCTAATCTGACGAAATAATAAACAACGCCATATTTCGACCGTCACCACCTATACCATTTTTTTTCGTAAAGTGAAGCTATTTGAGTATTGATGTTAATGTACTAATTGAGGTTTCAAGTGATAACTATCATGTTTTCATTTCTAAAAAATGGCATGTAGTAAATTTTATATTGCCAGCGTTTTATTCTTCTGCTCTCTTCGCGAGAACTTTTTTTGACTTTAATATCTTACGTGATATGAGTCTTATTACTAAATTCTTCTTTCGCTACCCAGTTCTTCTACTCTAGTATCATAAAATCAAATCTCTTCTTAGGCCGCCTCTCTACCAACTAAATAGATATTTCACTATGATACAGTATGATTTCCAATCACCCGAAGCGCATATTTTTTGTCTTTTCTTGATGACGTCATACATTTTGAACAACGAAACAATTCATCAAGTGGTGTTTCGCACAGCAGGAAACGATAGTCTGTCTCACGAAATTCTTTATCTAGCTACTAGTACTGATTGTTGCCATCCTTTATCAGAAATTAATTAGAGCTATAATTTTCACATAGTTTCTATTTATCATATGACTTGGTCTTTGAGTTTTTCTTTCTTTTTCTTTTCTTGGAATAGGTTCTAGATATGGAAACTGAAAGCCGCAGTTTTATTCTCGCATTAGTAATTCCGTTCTTTACATAGTTTTGTACGCAGAAACGGAATGTCTCTGATTCTACTGCTGATCACCGTAATATAATGTTGCTTTCAGATCGTTGTATATCATCATACCAACTACGATCGCAACGCATCGATACTCGACGTTACATCGATATAATCCACGGCCTCACTACGCCAATGAGCACCGAAGTACGGAGTCGTCATGTTCATAGCGCTACTGACGACATCGACGAAGCGTTGTCTTCGTCACGTGCTGATGATACCGCCATTGTACCATCAGAGAAGTGTAAACGTAACACGAGTCGAGTAGAGAGAATCTTATGGCGACTACCGTTGATTCTGTTCTATGCGTTTTGGTTTGTGTTCGGACTTCTCGTATTACGTAAAACACAGAACGCAATCACAGCAGTACGTTATGTGAAACGACATGGTCATACAGTGGCTCACGAAATCATCGAGAATTCGCGTGAATTTGGAGAACTTATCCGAGTACTTGATGACAAGTTTGTCAAACCACCAGCATTTCTAATGCTCAATCAGTATGCACTTAATATGACGTACAATTTTCTGTGTAACACTGCAAGTTTACAAGGAGTACATGAACGATTGATTTTTGTCACTTTGGATACGGTGGCCCGTGATGAGCTGAGAAAGACGTGGCCGAATATTCGGCAATTCCATTGGCCAGTTCCAAGTCTTTATGTGAGTGAATTGTTTTAATTCCACTATCAAATATTGTAATTTGAAAATCTATAGTAGGCGATCAATTTTTGCAGTGACTTCCAAGCTTAAAAGAGCGCATGTGGCTCAGTGGTTATAGGTGTTCTGCGTCGCATTCGAAGTCAATGATTCGATCTCGTGCTCATGGCTCAACAAGCCATCCAGCCCTTCGGAATCGGTATATTGGTACCAACTGACTCAGTACAGCGGTAGGTCACCGCGAGTCACTGTAAAGGCCCAGATATGCATTCAATCACCTCAAATGGAGTCAAAAATTAAGGACGAATGTATGACGCACCCCTCAAGGATTGATCGACGCTGGCAGCTTTATCCTTCATCCTTTATCCTTTCCAAACTTAGAAATTCATGATAGGACTATTAAAGACTGTGTCGTTATTTTCCTCAATAGTCTCCGTCTGTTGATGGAGACAATTACTGAATCCAGGCGAATTTCGTTAAGTACGATTTCATCCCCTCTCGTTCAATTACACACCGCCATTAGTGTTATCCAGGACTGACCCTAATTTCCTATTAGCATTCACAACTACAAATAGTCTAATTTAAAAGCTTTTTCTCCTTTCCACGCTATGCTACTCGTCTGATATGTTTTCCTACTATCATCTATATCTTTCATGATTCACCTGCATTCACATTTCCGCAAATAGTTCAAAGGCATAGAAACGCATTGACCGTGCAGTGGCCGATGTGCCAGTAGACCGATTATCCATGCGAATTTCACACCCATAAACGGCCTTTGGTGTAGTACAGTGATCGTACTCTTTTGTGATGTCCATGTTGGGAGTTGAATAATAAAATACCACCATGGCGTTTCGACAATAATAATACGAAGTCTGTATATTTAAGAAGAGTTATAGTTGGAAGTGGGGACCGCAGTAGTAATAGTCCCGTTGACCACACGAATGGCCTAATCTCTAACCAGGCCCTTGTTTCACCCTGCGCCTTGTTAACCAAGCCTTTTATACTTCCGGAGTTGGGAAATTACCATCAGAAGTTCCCAAGGCAAGCTCACCACTTCAAATCGACACGGCAACGTTATAACACATTTATCTTCTCAAACCTCACGAATATGAAGCGTTAGTTCGACTTGCTTTCTCGATCTCACATCTGAACTTCAAGCTTCAACCCCATCCACAAACTAGTAAATTAGGAGTAGAATCGTATGGAAAGGTACAAAAACATTCACTTGTTACATCGATAGAAATTCATATGATGATCCTACAATCGAACCAACAACAAATTCTCAAGAAGCCGAGCTATATCGAACGCCTTATCTTTCATTTGTTGTTGCAAACATAATACACGTTTTTTTTTTCTTCTTTCCACTGAATTTCTGAAAAGAAAA